GGGGGGGGGTCGAACACACCGCCCAAAAGCGAGACTCAATTATGTGTGGCTTACCAACTCGACTTCTTTTTAGCCCGCCCTCTTCTGCTTTTTGTACTTAACGGGTGACCCGGGAAAGCGCAATTGTAAGTCTTGAAAGCCTTTGCCAAGCCGCTGCGCACGCGGCCCCCTCGCGAACCCCTGCTAGGTAGGCAACGCCGAGACAGCCGTGTACAGCGCACGAGATGTTGCCTACCCGGCAGGCGCTCGCACCCTCGCAACGTTTCGTTCCCACGCGGACGGAAACGAAAGGGCAGCTGCGACGTGGACGCGGGGGACTTTCGCTGCCGAGAGAATGATTTCACTGCAAGCTTGTATCATCCCGAGTGCCCCTCGGAGCCGGCACCGGGGGCACCAATAAGGCCGCGATAAGCTGGGACCGAGTGCAGCAACGACATATTTTGAAACGACGCGATGATAAAACGGGACTGCATTGTCTGCCTTTAAGTGCCGCCTCCATCGGTCCCGGCGAGTAGGAAACGCAAGGAAATGAGCAATCTGCTGTTCTGTTGGCAAATCGGACGTGAATGTTGATGCCGTCTGCCGCGGCCGCAGCTGTTTACTGACGCGCTAGGGTCTCGGGGTGTCCAAGCAGACTACGCAACTCCCGGAACTTACCCTCGCGTCCCCTAGGACTAGGCTGGATGTGCTTGATCTAACTTCCTGCTCCTCGCGTCCGTCCGTAGGCTGCAGCAGACGGCCGCCATGTCGCTCAAGTCGCGGGGCTCAAAGGACAGCGCTGACGCGGTGCCCCTGCGGGAGGCCGGTGAGGCCGATGGCGGCGCCGACGACAAGCCCGCCGCCGGCGACGACGCCATCTGCCTCAAGGCCAAGATGTCGCTGCTCAACGGCATCACCGTCATCGTAGGCTCCATCATCGGGTCGGGCATCTTCGTCTCGCCGACCGGCGTGCTCAAGGAGACGGGCTCCGTGAACCTGGCGCTCGTCGTGTGGGTCGTGTCGGGCATCTTCTCCATGGTGAGTAGGAAGCGCCGCGGCGGTGCCACCCGGGCTGCGTCGCCCTTGCTCACCTTGCCCCTCTGTCCGCAGGTGGGCGCGTACTGCTACGCAGAGCTGGGCTGCATGATCCGTAAGTCGGGCGCGGACTACGCCTACATCATGGAGACGTTCGGGCCCTTCATGGCCTTCATCCGGCTGTGGATCGAGTGCATGATCGTGCGGCCGTGCTCGCAGGCCATCGTGGCGCTCACCTTCTCCGTGTACGTGCTCAAGCCCTTCTACCCGGACTGCACGCCGCCGGACGAGTCTGTGCGCCTGCTCGCCGTGTGCTGCATCAGTGAGTAACCCTCCCTTTACTGCGCCGTCCCGGAGCCCTTCCCCGTCCCCACACCACTTCCTACCCCCCGAACTTCCGGGCCGACAAGGGGGAAGAGAAAGAACCAGCTCCTGCGCACCCAAGAGAGGATCTTCATCCGGGGGATGCTGGGCTGGGCGGAGGGGGAGCCAGGGAGCTCTCCTCTCTCGGTGCGTCTCTGCGCATGCGCAACTGTGTCGCGGTTTTGCCTACTCGCTCAAGCCGCATCTGGGGGGTAGTCAGTATAGGGAGTAGGCAAACCTGCCACATTGTACCGGGTGTTGCATAAAAGACACAGGTGCGGGCGGGTTTGCCTACCCAAGGGGCTATGGCGCCTTACGGGCAGAGCGGGTAGGCAAACCCGCCCGCAGCTAAGTCTTTTATGCAACACCCGGTACAGCGCGGGCGAATACCCAGTGTACGAGGGGGTTTTCACTTCTGAAATACCGTGTACACCAAATGAGGTATTTCACAGGTATTTCAC